AACCCATTACTAACCTTTCATATACTGGTGATTAAATATTAACTGAGAAAGTCACTGGGGAGCAAACAGAGTGTTATGAGGAAAGGAACACTTAGATTGTGGCCTTGAGTCCGATGGAAGTGTTTAAGCCATCACATGGAAACGAGTGAAACACCCAGATCTGTTGCACGTGAGGCTTTAAACACAATGGACCTGATTTGTTGGCTGACTTCCACTGCAGAGGAACTAGCTGACGCTCAGCTCGTGGCACAGATGAGGCTTCAGAGGGTTGTTGAGTTACTGGAGTCATCTAATCAGGATTTTATCGGAAATAGTCTGGAAATATATTCCAGAGCAGCCTCAATGGGAAATTTTCTTAATAAATGGAGACCTAACCTTTATTTACTCACAGAAAGATTTGAAAATCTGCAAGATTTGGGTTAGATTAACTCATTTACATTCACTTTAAATAGGAAATATGCCTAATAAATGGAGCTCTTACCCTTATTTACTCACAGAAAGATTTGAAAATCTGCAAGATTTGGGTTAGATTAACTCATTTACATGCACTTTAAATACAGTTTTTCCAAATGTCAAGATGTCTTACGTTTCAAATTTGTGTCGGCGGAAAAATGCCCTCAGCTAAAACAAAAATGAGCATTTACAACAATTGACATTGTTGTTACTACTTCAATCGACATTTAGACTTGAATAAGTCAAGATTTCTTCTTTTACTGCGTCTTCTGTGCTCTGAGGTGCCCGACCAATTCTCAAAAACGCCAAAAAGTATTTCACCTTTGATCCCAAACTCTGAGTTCCTCCCGTATTTCAGGATGATCACCATCAGGACGCAGCCTGTCAAGGCGACCCCGGCGATTCCCACGACCACGTAAACCTGTCAGAGGCCAGAAAAAGAGCCACCTTTAGATCGTACACATCATTCTCCCACTCTGCACCTTGGGGATGGAGTAACCTCCAGAAAGAGCTCAAACTAGAAACTGTCGTGTCCATTAGTGAATTTAAAGCAACCATGAAGAATGTAGTGATGGAGATATGTGCTTGTTTTTCTTGAGATGCTCAATGTGTTTTAACATACCGCTCTGATTTTATTATGAAAAATGTAATATGTTGTAAATATGTATGAAATTCCTGTGGTTTGGCTGCTACCTTGGCCAGGTCTCTCTTGAAAAAGAGATTCTGAATCTCAATGGGACTTTCTTGTTAAATAAAGGTTAAACATCTATGTCTGTATCTTTATTTGTGCTGGACTGCGTGTGTTCGGCGAGAGGCTTTGAACGCATCTTTGGGAGGACTTACCGCCACGCTGTCGTCCAGAGGAGGGAGAGGAGTATCTGAGTAACACATGACAACAAAAGTCTCAAAACATTTCACCTGAATAATCTGATTGTAAAACATTTAGCCACTCTGTCTGACGCTTTTTCTCCCTACAAAAGCAAAGCACAACTCCAATGTTATTGCCTCAAAGCCAACTTTTACTCACAGTATTCAAAGTCGTCTACTAGGAGAAAAAAAGAGAAGAAGAAGGAAAATGATGGTCAGCAGTGATGCTGGGAAAGAGGAGGCCCCCTTTTTTTTGTGGTGTACACAAAAGGTCACCTGTGTGGTTGATGTAGGGCGGGTCGATGAACTGGGCGAAGACGGTCTTCTCGTCCTGGCCGAACTCGTTGGTGGCCACCAGCTTGTACTCGCCGTTGTGGATGTGGGTGGGGTTGACCAGCTGCAGGCAGCCGTGCTGCTTGTCCTCGGTGGCCAGGTGCACCCTGGTGCGGATGTAGTCCTGCTCCTGGAGCAGCTGGTTCTTGTGGTACCAGTGCAACTCGGCCTTGGGGTTCCCCGCCACCGTGAAGGGGATGCACCAGTGGTGGTCCTGCTCGGGGGCCAGCAGCTGCTGGATGGAGGGGGCGACTGGGGAGAGCAAGAACAGGAAGCCGTGAACAACGGGAGGAAGCAGGAGGAGGGCGGCATTTAACTCATTGGCTGCCAAAGACGTCTATAGACGTCAATTCAAATACAACCGTTGAATGCCAAAGACGTCTATAGACGTCTTTTAGGTTTTTCAACGCGAGTGGCTTGGGGGACGATCTGCTAAAGCTTGTCCGTAAATATCGGCTTCTAGACAGAGTATGTAGTAACAAATTGACCCTCTAGGTGGCAGTGCCACTTTTGATGGGAGATGAACATAGACTGTAGGCAAATAAGAAAAAGGTAACGGTTCGCTATGAGAGAACATGTCGCCGGTGAGACGCAAGTTGAGGAGGAACGGAATAAGGTAGAAACAAAAAAAAATTCCTGATGAAAGAAGAGAGTCTAATCTTTCTTTTGGTGTGTTCGGTGTTTACATAGTCATAGCACAAACTATTCTGTGGCTCTTGAAAAATCAGTCAAAATGCTCAAAAAACTCTGGCAGTATGGGACTCTGTTCTGAAAATGGCTGGCAGTCAATGAGTTAATCACGGGATTTGGACGGTACGGGATAAATGGTTAACGGGAGCAGACGGGAGCGGGAATCAACCAATAGCAAAGAGGAGAAAAAAAAAGAAGTAAATGCACCAATTTT